ATGCCTTTTCATCAAAAACTAAAAAAGACATTAGTATGATCCCCTTCCAGCGCTAATACAGACGATATTGATGATGAACATAAGAATTCGGTGCTCGATATCGGCACACATACATACACTCGAATTCTCTGAGATGAGGTAGGCGTGGCTGCGTACTTCAACTAAACGTCGTGGTGGCTATGCTTTTGGAGAGATATTTTCATTTTGACCCAAATGTGGTCACGTCTCTGTCCAACAAAGAACAAGATGGCGGTTGTCTCAAATTGAAATATCCCACGAGTAACCAGTTCTGTGCTATGTTCGAATACCACACCTACCCCGCCTCAGGGGTAAGGAGTATACTAGTTTGTCGACGGTGGGAGGGGGGGGGGGGGGGGCATTCGGCTTTTCATAGATGTGCCGACCCATCTAGGTAGCCTTTTCTCGAGTTGACACGTTTTAGGATGGTGGCTAGACGATCTTACTCCAGCTTCACAGGCGTTCACAAGTTTTACCATGGTGAGATTCGTAAACCGGAACTAGGGAAGCAATGTTAGTACAAAATGCCCCCCCCCCCCCCCGGTCGCTTAGCAGCGCCGGAGTATACCTTATCAACGTACCATTTATTTTGTAAAGATGCATGACAAAACGCACCGATTTCTCTGAACGGAGGGATAAAATCTTTCTAGCGAAACATTTGAGCATAGATATGCCAAGCCGTGAAGCACTGGAGCGGTAATTTTCAAAATGCAACGAAATTATACTGATACACCTTCACAACTTCTATCTGGCAGGCCTTCAATCGTAAGTAGGGGTGAAGGCGGTCTCATAGCGGCTCCGGAAAGGTACATGTCCCAAAGCCTGGCGAAAGCTGTGTTGTGGTCATCATCACCGCATTCAGCAATCACCACGTAATTTGCTTCATTCGCCGAACCTGGAGAAAACCAAAGAGTTCGTGGGTACGGCGAGGGATAATTTGGCAAGAAATGATCACCGGTGCAGCGATGAGCACGGTTGCCCAGGCAGGGTACAGCGTTGTTTGGAGAATCCCATCGAAGGGGCCGTACTTGGTCAATGAGGAGAGCGTCGTGGTTTTCGTATTTGGTCGAAGGAGGCTCGTATCTGGTCCTTGCGGAAATTTTCCCGAGCCGCGAGAGGAAACTTTCCCCGTTGTTGTCTTTTTTGGTTGCTCACGTTTCACTTGGGTTATATACCTCCTATACTCTCTTCTCAGCAGCAGCTTTGCTGGGAGAGAGCCGTAACATTTTCCTGAAGAGTGAGGGGAAAATAAAGGGCGGGAGAATTTAAGTAGGTGGTTTTTTTTCCGCGCGTCCCTGAAAGGAAAACTCTCGCTTCACCTTAGCTTACTAGGCAAGAGCTTTTCCTTTACGATATAGTAGTAGAGAATTCCGAACTACTCCAAGAGCCCACTCTTACGGTTCTACTGTAAGCTAGTCTGTTCAAAGGCGTATGTATGTATGCTCCAATAACGCGCAAATGCCTCGTCAAGTTTTTGAAGGCTGAGCGGCACGATGAGATGCCTCCAAATTGCGTTACAATCAATAGAACCTAGTAGGACAGCTATCCGGCGCCCCCGAGCACCATGCTGCGGCACATTTTTCAGGGAAAGTTACCTCATATGCGCCCTAGCTGCAACACACAGACGACCCGAACATCCACTTGCCATTTCAAATGTCCGACGCGGACTGATGCTCGTATCGCTTCATTCGCGAAGTAAAAGATGAAGCAAAAGATTTTTGAGAAGCAGCTGTGGTGCTGCATGGATATTTGGATATAGACGTGCAACCGTATTTACCGTAGCGTTAGTGGCACGATGCCAACGGGGAAAACTCGTCCGAAATTGCTCTCTCGGTCGTGTAGAACCAAGGCTCTTTGCAGGTTTTGGAAAGTTTCAACCTCCCTTTCTCGCCATATGCCCCATGTATACATATAGCACCGCCCACTGTTTCTCAATTTTAGACTAACAGTATGCAAATTGTCAAGTGCCCTATGGAGAGAGCTTATAGGGCTTTTACGGATTGATCTATCCATCCATGTGAGCCCGCACGTTGGAACTCCCACGCGCAGGCTGATAGGTTAAGCTCTCCGCAGCTGCTGGCTGTGCAAGCCTATGTGTTTCTAGGGTACAGAATTCTCCCGGAACTTTGTACATCTTCCGCTTCCTTGTTCTCTAAAATACACTTACTTCACCAGTCGGTCAGAAACGACCCCCTCCTTTCCACAACGCTTCGTTCACATCCACTCGCAAGGAGAGTCATACTCAACATATTGAACCACTCATAGGAGGTGGATGGATGACTATTCAACTGAGTGATCCGACTGAGCAGATGGCCTACCATAATAACTCAAATTCCTTTTTGTAGCTCGCAGATGCCTGATTATAAGCTCAACAAGCCGTTTCGTTAAGAAGGCTCACATTGTGATAAGAATCCTTTAATAAAATGTTTATTGCATCAAGAAATGTTGTGGTGAGGTCATGGTTTGTTCCTTTACCGACGATGAGTTCCGTCTGCAAAGAATATGCCACCATCGATGGCGCAGTACTTGGGACAGATTCCTGGCTCGCCAGCAGCTCCACTCGACCCAGGCTCTCCCGGAGCACCGGTTGCCCGTCAGGCGCCTGGCTGTCCGTCAGCTCCTCTGTTTCCTTTGGGTCCTGGTTGGCCTGGAAATCAACGATTTTATAACATGTGTGAGAAGGCTATTAGAGAAATATAGGCAATAGGCAATTAAGACGTACCGTCGGATCCAGGCTGACCGGGCTGTCCACTTGGTCCAGGTGGACCTTGAGGGCCGGGACTTCCAGCGGGTCCAGGTTCTCCAGGAACAAGAGGTGTTGAAATAGCGGGAATTCCAGGCTGCCCTGGTGCACCAGGATATCCAGGGTTTCCATTTGGTCCTGGTGATCCCTTGGGTCCAGGAGGTCCGGGCTGAGCAGCATTTCCTGGAGCTCCTGGGAGTCCGTCGCGGCCAGCGTCTCCAGAAGGACCTTGGGGTCCGGGAGGACCGGGTGGTCCACGTGGGCATTGTCTGCATGGTGGAGGAGTGACGGGGTAACAAGGCTGCTGTGGATGGGTCGTCCTGGGTTTCCTGGAAGTCCAGGTGCTCCGGGCTTTCCTGGACGACCAGGTGACCGGGAGTTCCTGCGGGTCCGGGTTCTCCGGGAAGACAGCATGAATCGCACCGATTGTTGCCACCATTGCCTCCGTTGCCGCCATTGCCTCCGTTGCCGCCATTGCCTCCGTTGCCGCCATTGCCTCCGTTGCCGCCAACGTATCCTTCGTGTGTTTGGGTACTGGGAGGTACTTGAATGATTTCAGCATCACGCGATATAACCTGACGAGCGGTCCTGTTCGCACCAACAGCCCTTCTGAGGTGATTTACCTCACTCCAAATGTCCTTTGCGGATACCGCGCAAGCAGCCAGCTCGTTGTGCATGGTCCTTTTCACTTGATGGACATAACTGTGGAGGATGGGTAATGTGACGCAGACGGTAAGGACTGCTACTACTGAAAAGGTAACGGTAGAGTACGCAACGAAACGATAGGCTTTGACACGGTGCTCAAAGTCCATCTTGACGTTGCCACTGTTCACCTCCCCACGCTACTCCTTTTTATACGCGCGCAATGTTTTCGTGTGGCCTTTCACGCGCTTCTTCCTTCGCCATGCTGTCTCCAAGCTTCTGGTTTACTCGACCCCGCGCCCTGCTTAATCCGGTACCATTATGCGGCGGGTGTAACGTGGAGAAATTCGAACACAAAAGTGTAAAATAGTGTAATTTTCTTGAAACAAGGTTTCAGTACATCCAATCGCTCAATGAAGTGATAAGGGTGGTCTGCCTAGCCAACTGCACCACAACTCTAGCCACAGGGACATTTTGAGGAATGGTTCATAAGGACCTAAGTGGTCCTTCCAGTAGGCAGAAGATGTACGGTGAAAGTCGAAAGGATCAGGTTTAGTAGAAGCCAATACTTCATCAGAACTAATAGTCCCTGAAATTGAAAGTGGAAGGGAAAGTGGGACAGATTCCGCCAATCTCTGCAAAAATCTCAAGCCCTAGCTGTTCTCTATGCAGCGAAAATTGCTGATCATAACAGGATTTTGTGTCGAACGATGCGCTTTGCAAGGAAATCGCAACGATCGTCCTTGGATGCGTAATCTGATAAACGGCTAAGTCCTTGAATCTGAGGCCACAATAACGTGAAATTTTTAGCTAAGTCCTCGGATCTGAGGTCACAATAACGGCAAATTTTTATTGGTCTGGTCCAGGAAAAGTTCTAAAAACCGAATAGGTACAATTCGACCACATACAGTTGATGTTGGCAGTAAATCGAGTGCGGAGTGGCCAGTGGCGGTGGGGTGAGGGCGGCAGGAATGCAGCCAATCGCGGAGATTTGCATTTTCTGGCCGGAATAGCGAGGCAAGCGCTGACTCGGGAGGGTGAAAAACAACTGAATGATAGAAACGTGTGCGTGGCAGCGGGCTCAGCCTATGGGCTCTTCGAGAACAGGAGGCGGGGGCCGCGCCTCGACAGCTCCTGGCACCGATCTCAGACACACACATACATGAGGGCGGATAGAAGGGTCGATGCCGGCGAATGGCTGAAAATTGACAGATATTTTGACGCGTCAAGGAGAGCAGATGGTCAGCTGGTAGCGGGCGTGCATGGCAGAGCAACAATCGAAAAAAACATCAATCGCTCGATAAGGACTGGGCGAACTTGAATGGCTTCGACGAATTGAGCTTGGGAGATGTAAAGTGAAAAAGTGAAGGGTTGCGAAGTGATGTTGTGCGGCTAACAACCTTGCTTCTCAGATATAAAAGACTTGTACAGCTATGATGAAAGTCAATTTCCTTTTGAATAACCTTTAGGGTATCTGAAAGAATCACAAGGCGTTATGAGAAAGCGGTGCGAAGGTGCTCTAAGTCGTCAGATAAGGATGCAAAGACTCCAGTTGCTACCTTTCTATGAGGCTGCGAGCCTAGCAGTTTTCCAAACTCTTTTGTGCATGGCTAGTCATGGGGTAATATACTAGGCACAGTTCCAGAAATCAGGAGGCGCGGTATGGCTAAAGCCTTTGGTCGCTCAAAGTGCGGGAGTACCCTTTATGAGTTCGGAATGCCGCGACGGTGACCCAGGGAAACGCTCATATTGAACCGATGAAGATCCTGGCTGACTTTCCGCCACTCAAAAAATGCATAGTAGGATTCCAGAAGGTTGGTGGACTGACAGTGGATGGGACCACGGCGGCGCAATTTGAAGGAGAGTAGCAGGGAACCCAATCCTAGACAAGACGTCGTGATTTGTGGAGCCAGGGGTTGCGAAAGAAGCCGGCGAGGCCCGGGGCGGGGTGCGGGGAGGGAGGCGTGGCGCGGTGTGACTGTCGAGGGGAGGTGGTTTTGGAGGGGTTGTGTAGAAGGGCTCTTCTTGTTTTTTCTTCTTTGATGAATTACTTATCAGCTACTGCTGTTTCATGATTGAATAGCAAAATTCAATGAATCCGTGACACTTTATCGCGAGAACTGCAATCCACTTCCTGTGGATAGGCCTCCACGAGCTACAAAGGACTATTGGTTTTCACGACGGGATGCAAGACCTCGTATATTTTTGGAAAAAGTCCGAAGGAGGTTTTGCGTGCTCAAGAGCAGGAAAACAGGTAATGGACGAAGAGCGATTGTATCCCTTCCAAAACTTCAACTTTTTCGAAGCCAAACCCTTATCCTACCTACCATCTTCCTGAACTCGTACATTTTCCTACCAGATTCTCCAGATCCCAAGAAACTTCTCAGCTTTTCTATGATTAACTGCCGTCGGGCGTTGAAGTGGGTTATGAAGTCAAAGCCCGAGCAAGGAAAAGGTCTTTTGAGCTAGCGCAAGTGGAGTTCTATCGGGGAAACTGTGCAACTTTTCTACTGTTTCCTTAGCAATTGCTCGTGTATGACACATCCGTTTGGTTACTAAAATGACTGCTGTGAATTTCGTGACTCACATAGCACCCCGAGCGATAATCGGCCCCATTTGATGTCGTTGTATACCATCTGAACAAATACGAGCATCGATTTGTTATGGAATTGAAAGAACCACTCTTTGTGTACCTATCCCCTGTGAATTCTTTTCAGTATCGGATTACCGTTTATTCACAGTGAGCACGTGTGGTGTACTTTTCGAATCGTTGGGTTGAGTAAAGTATCCTCCGCTGAATGGTAGATGATCTCCTTGTCAGCTCACTATCTCATGAAATGGAATAGGTTTGGGGGGGGGCTGCTTCAGTCATGGGGTAACGCCACTGTGAGACAATGCTTACTTCTGCTTCCTTTCAGAATCAACTGGCTTCCAATCCATTGACCTATACATTGACATTCAGAGAGCCGCCGTTGCGTAAGTCTGAGTTTTTACTCTCCGATATGAGTTTGGCACCGACTGGACCCGTCTCAACGGATGGAAAGCTTGGCTAGCCCCTGGCTCATCAGGAACAGGCTAACCTGGAATTCGGACTCCATCCCTTGGCAAGCGGGCCACTTGCCACTATACCACGTCCGTCCAGGCAACCTTGCAATTGACCTGAACTTCTTAATTGTAATATAGTGGATCTCGTATATCCTCATTGCTTTGTTCGCGGAATCCTGTTCTCCTAGAAGCGCTCCACATGAAAATCCAGAACTGTTACAGGGTAAGATGACTGTGTCGTATAACTCGGCTGTATCTTCTGTCAACACATTTACATTCTTTCGTCTCCTGTTACGTTGGAGAGGATCGATATGGAAATCGGTATCTGGCGAATTGCTGATATGGACCATTTGTTACTACATTATATTTGCAATCTACCGATTTGTCTTGCATGGCCAAGCTCAACGGTACTCCTTAAACTATCTGTAAAAGTATTTTCAGTGCTGAATACAAAACTGTCGTTGTGCGTGGGGCATCTTGTGCAGAACATCGATAAAATTTCGGCCGCCAACCTGTAAGCAAGGCAGAACTTGAAGGCACACATCGCGATTATACAGCCATGATCCACGCAAATGATAGGGCGTGTGACGTTGCGTGCATTGCAGTGCAGTGAGTCCGTTTCCACCAGTGATGCCATCCTCAGCCCCCAATTCAGCTGACGAGAAACTGATCTGGCTGCGCTGCAAGCCATGCTCACGTGACATGCCTGTCGTTTGCGAGGATCATGACTGTATTTCGTGGGCCACGTCAACATCTGCCAAGCTTTGCGTCTGAAAAGCTGTAATGCAGCGGCGTGTTAAGGCTCAAGGCTGTTCAAGAAAGCTCCGTAAAAAACGTCCAAAGCCGTTTACGTACGATAGTTGTCGTGTTGTCTCGCTCGACTGCATGCTCTCTCGCTCCGATCTCTCACTCAAAATCCATATCGAATCTTTAACTCTCGTCTTGGACCACAGAGGCATCATTTGATGTGGTTTAGTAGTATTGATATACTGGTAGAGTCCCACTGCCTATTGGCCACGCGTGAGTTGGTCTGTAAGTGCCAAATAGTAACACAACACTTTATTAGTCAATAAGAGCGTGTGAAAGGATTGACTGAATTCGTACTTCTTAGTCCTGCATTGAGAGAGTACGTCCGCGGTGGTGCTTGACGAGAGCTGGAGGCGACGGTTGGTTGAGAGCGCAAAGCTGTAAAACATTGATCTGCCTGCGCAGATCAAGTAGCTACACTCCCGACGCCTCGAATTGTTGGCTATTTAGTTGCTCCAGCTTGGTTCGGACATCCCGTATCTTCTCTCTGACTCGCTCCCTTGAATCCGGTACTGAGGAGAGAGCTCAATAGTCTCCGGATCGTTGATCACGATGAGGATACATTTGCTCCTGCATCGCATTAGGCAGTGCTGACATATTCTTTCGTCGATGATGATTCTTGGACGTTCCTCGTCTCCGTGTATCTCGGAGAAGAGTCTGAGTAATGGGCACCCCTCCTCCTGCAAAAGACACATAAGATGAAGGGGTCGATCTTCGAGGCATCGCCGAGTTTTCTTTGTGGCAAGGACTCTAAGGCCGAACTGCAGTCCTGCCAGTTCTTTCTCAAGCAACTTGCGGGTTTCCCTCGCGATAGTTGAATTTTTGTACGCTGTTATCATCGTCTTCCTCATCATTGTTTTCCTTTATCAATTTGTCGACGTAATCATCATCTGACATTGCAGCACCCTGTTGAACGTCTTCTTCGGCTACTCCTTGGTCCTACAATTTCTGCCTTTCAGTTGGGCCTTCATCGGGGACGTTCCTGGCTAGTTTTTTTTTCAGGTGCTCTTCCATGCGCTAAACAGTTGCATTCACCTCGGCATTGCTGTTGAAGTGAACGAAAGTAAGGCTCTTCAGCACGGCCTTCCCTTTATTTATGAGATCGGTCGCCCTTCTTATTCTCATGACTCAGCTCGTCCGCGATTCGATTCAGTATTGTTGTATGTAAAGGAAAAAAACGCCGTAGAATTTGGATTACTAGGAACGATATTGAACCGACCTGAGTCCTTTATTGATAGTCCAATGCATCAAATTTGTGTTCAGTGTGATATAGTGGCTGAGAGTGCATTACTATTGCCCAGCGTGAGTTTGGGGGAAAAATCTGTAAATGCCAAATAGTAACACAACATTTATTTGTCCATAAGAACTTTTGTGAAAGGATTGGCTGAATTCGTACTTCTTAATCCTGTAGTGAGACAGTGCGTCCATGGTGGTCCTTAGTGAGAGCTGGAGGCACGGTCGGTTGAGAGCGCAAAGCTGTAACGCATTGATCCGCCTGCGCAGATCACGTAGCGTCAGCTACATTTGGAACGTCTCTGTTGACCTCCTCTGCTTTTTTTTGCTCGCGTGCGAATCGACTACCTCATACACTTCTGATTCTCATCGTGCTTCCTACGGAATTGGCTCGAACTTATCGCGGACCTTGCTTCTACAGAACGCTTAATTCTCGTTGCTATTAATACCAAGCAGGAGGTGAAGAACCGTTGTGTACATCGTAGACAAGCGTTCAGACTTCGCGATCGGACGGCGGTCGATCGCGCTACTGAGGGTGAAATTACTGCGGGAGGGGGTCATGTTCGTTCATGTTCAACTCAACTCAACAAACAACAACAAAGTTCTGGGAAGGGAGCGTACTAATATCACCATTTCTCACATCACAATGCTGTATCCTGCCTCCAATAGGCAGTTCCAAAAACGATATAAAAGTAAGTTCGACCTTTTTGATGTCTTTTATTCCGTGTTCATATTCGCAATACTGACGTTTGCAGAAACCGTTGAAAGGAAAGGTTGTGTTAGTAGGACTGGAGGATGGCAGAACAAACAAAGCAACACAATGTGACAAAAGTAAAGTGAATATCTGGAGGACTGGCAAAATCGGGGGAAGGGAGAGAAACAACATCACCCGCTGTTAAAAGTTCTGCGTGTCTTACTTTTGGAACAAGATGTTCAACACTCCGCTTGAACGTACTCAGATGCAAAATTCAGTATAATAATTAGCATATTGTATATTTAGTACTATTTTACATAGGAAATAATAAATAACTCAAAGATATTTCGAAACGTTCTTTAAAATTAGGAGGGCGTTATGTACAAAGGAAGAAAGAAAGGAAAGAGAGAGAGCAGGATCAATAAACATATACGCACATAACCCCCTCCCGCAGTAATTTCACCCTCAGTAGCGCGATCCAATCGCGCGATCCAAGCGATCCGATCGCGCGATCGCGAAGTCTGAACGCGCTCTAAGGCGAGATACCCAGAGCAAGAGGGGCGAAGGAGAACTGCACGAGCGAGACGACACCGAAAGGCTGAGCACTTGAGCAACCTTGCCTATTTGACGGCAACACCTAACAATTTTTGACATCAAACTTTAGCGGCTCCTCTATCCTCTTCTAGGGTGATGATTTGAATATTTAGTGGGGAGAAGGGATGACTTTCATTGTAGTTTGGCCATTGTGAATAATAGTAGAGTTTAAAGATGAAATTAACCCTTGGAAAAGCTTGGAATGGTTAAAAGAGTCCGTTACTGTGTGGGGGCCTCTCCATGATGAAATTTCAGGTAAGGTTGGTGGAAGATTTGTCGCGTACGGCAAGCAGTATTAGCGTTGTACTTTTCTCAAGACTCGTCATGCGACCAAATGGCAGAATTTGCTTATCTTCTTTTTGTGCCATCCGCAATTGCGTTTGCCTCCTTGCCTTCTCTGAAGTGGTACATTAATGAAGGTGGTGCACCAGTGAGGACTCGAAGAACTGGACTTCACCCTTGCCGATTGTTATGGATCGCCTGCGAAGGAAGTTACCACTTCATAGTCATGCTTTGCGAATACAGATGAATTTGTGAGGGTTTTCAGGAATTTTGAACACATTGCTGACTATTTCAACGAGCGGATTGCCTGCGTCCCTCTAACATTTCTGTTGGGATTTTTCGTATCTATCATCGTCCGTAGATGGCGAGACACTTTCGACAATATGGGCTGGATAGGAGAAAGTTAGTCCATTGTAGTGTGCACCAATTCGCGTCTCAGTGATACCAATGATAAGCCAGGTATGCTCAACAACTCTTCCGAGAAGTGAAGAAAAATGATGGTAAAGGAAAATAGGTGGAGCCTTATCTGAGCTCAATGCTGCAATGTCTGCACATCCGCTGAGGCGAAAATGGCGTCTCGGCCCACAGCTGTCTATTCCCTGGCACCATTCTTGGTGTGTGTCACGGAACAATTCATAAGGCGCGATGCTAGTAAGGGCCGCATGTGACTTTGGGCGCGCCACATCAACGGTTGTGGACGCTGTTTAAAGGTATAAGGGGCACGGATAATTTGCGTACTTGCTCAAGCATAGAGCGAGGCGGTGCTGTATAATAAAGAAGTGACGAAAATTAGAGATGAATCAGCTAAAAACTTGCGAAACGCATTTGTTCTACACGGCATGGGACAAGCTTATTTGGACGAGTTTTCCCGTTGGCATCGTGCCAACGCGCTTTGTTAAATAAATGATAAATGCACGCATGCGTTCATATATCCATGTATCAACGCTTCATATCAATTTTAGTCCATGAATGAAGCGATAAGAGTAACAGCATCAATGTTACTGTGCGGACACTTGTGGGTTGTGGGGAGAACGGTATGTTTGGGCGCCTTTGGTTAGGCGCTATAAGCGCTCTTTGATAAATCGCTGAGGCAGCGCCTGCTGAGGTGCACCTTCTTTAGAGTATCGACAGCTGCGCCTTGTAGGACTATTCCTGCACAATTGCCCTCAATCCATACCAAGACTCGTCTTCAATTCGAATGAAAGCTAATGCCAAGACGATGACTGCTTCTCCCTTGCCTCTATTTTCCGTCTAGCCTTTTTTGTTACGATCATTGAAGGTCAGTCATGTAGAGAGACGAGCAATTCGGTTGTATAACGCTGTGATAACTGCTAAAGATAGTGTAAAAAAAAGCAAAGCATAAACATGTGGGCAGAAGGAAAGCGATAGAGTGCTCTCTCTCGTCTGACCTCTTCTCAATAACGGCTGGTGTTTCTTCGTCTTAGGTTTATCGAACTGCAATTCGCTTGTTTCTTCTATCCGCAAACCTAAACAGTACTGTAGAACGACTGGGCAACACCTGTCAATAGTAATTCTGAAGAGGTCCAATCACCAGTCCTCTACTAGGCAGCCATCAGCTCAATAATAACAGATGGCACTCAAACCGATGGCGAGTTTAAATCGAAGTCATCTGTTTCAGTTTGGCGCTGACACTTACGAATTTGCTACAAGGCGATGAAATGGAGAATAGGCAAATGCGTCGCACTATCATTCGATACCACGTGTTTATCAAGCAAGTGGGTTCTCACTTTTACCTTCAGAGAAGTCACAAGAAATAAAAAAAGTTCCTCAGCAGGTTCTCGTTTTTTCCGGCGACATTGTCATGCGAATTCGAAGACGATTTCCAACAATGGAATCGCTAGTAAATGCTGGTGGGTGACAATTAGCTCCTTTTTTGTTAACTACATCGGAGGTGATGTCTGCAACCCATGTTATGGTCGGTTTTTTGCGCGAGCTGAAAGTAGCTCGTTTGGTTTCACTGCCTTCTGAAAATTCGCTTTGCCTTGGCCATGGAAGATGCGCAAGCACATATTTACTGATAAGGATGTTCTAGGTTTCCTGAATGCCAAAGAGCTCAAAGAGTTGAACGAGGTCGATTTGGCGTACAACAGGTATTGGACGCCTCTCTACTGGGCCCTTGGTGTCTCATTTAAAGCTCTTGAGAAGGAATACTTTCGAAACGCCATGGGCAAGAATTTGCGTACAAAATGTGAGTTGCACTAGACATTAGTTGACATCCCAACATAATCACCTTTGGCTTGCCCGTCTGCCCAGCGGTCAGGCGGAGAATGCTCCATTATCCGGGTCTATGCACCTCTTCTTTACCCATACAAGTCGGTAGAAGCGGATTCGGGAGGATGAGTCAATTTGAATTTTTTTTTGAGTTTAGGTTTTTAGAAATCTGGCAGCAGTTCCCATTTATTACACTATATCTTCAAGTGAGATCTTTGAGAGGCATCTCCAGGGCGCAGTTTGGGCGAAAGGGGGGGGGGGGAAGGGGGAAGGGGCATTTGCACTTCTTCCCTGGCTTCCCGACGAACATGTAACCTATCTTCGAGCAGTCTCCTCATAGCGAGTTGGTCAGGCGTTTACCATGATGGCTTGACGACCTTGCTCCATCTTCAACAAAGTCACGAAGTTCGCCAGACCTGAGACATGTAAATCAGGAAAGTAGGGAAGCTAATGAGCAATGACCCCCCCCCGATTGCGCTGCGCTCCAGCAAAAAATAGGTTTTGGAATTTAGTGCTAGTTCTGAGTCTTTTCCAAATTGCTCTTCATCGAGTTTATCTTTCATGTTAATTTTTATTACATTTCATATTCCAGAGGTGAGGAGGGCGTGGCTGCGTACTCCATTTGAAAGTGGCGGCTGCTGCACAGTTGATAGGATATTGTCGTTTGAACGCAATTGCAGTCATGTCTTTGTCTAGCAAGGACAGGAAAACAGTTGTCTCGAATAAAAACATCCTATGAGAAACGTGACCAACTCAATTCCCTTATAAAGCACGTAGTCACGCCCCTGCTATCGTCGGAATATGGAGTGTACCCTGTGCGAGAATGAGTGTTTTTCCCACACTGGTCTCCAAATTCAGGAAATCGAAGCTTTCCGTACCAATCTGGCTATTCTGTGCAATTTCGACTGGGTTCCTATTCCAATTAGCTATCCGCAGGTATCACAGTACTAATTCTTTCCGAGTATCGGTGACAGAGATAGCATTGCCGGAATGATCTTTACTATCATTGAGGTGGTCTTCCTCGCTGTCCGTTCCTATTTTGCGCTATGCCTTGTATCTCGGCAATTTCTGATCAAAGATCAAGGCGAAGATCACCATAGAGGTGAGCAGGGCGGGCGGGAGCATTTTCTGAACTCCTGTTGGCAGTTGAACAAGTTTTCATTGCCTCGTCAGCCCCCGTAAGGCACAAAATGGTACCACTTTCGAGAACTTTCACACGGACCAATTAATTTATACAATAGGAGGATTTCAAGCGCGCATGACCAGTAGTCCAGAACGGCTTGTAAAAAAACGAGTTGCCCTTCGAACACTGGCGCTATTGAGAATTGTTTGAAGGAAGTGGGCTCGGTGAAGCGACCAGGTGTTGGGTATTGTGCCCCTCAGGGGCTACGTGGTGCTTTTTCTAACGAGAGGCGCTTTCTAGGCGTTTTCGCAGGGACATGCATGCTGACCGACAGACCCGCCTGGTCAACGATCTTCTCTTGCAGGGGTATGCTTGACCACACTCTGATTAAGACAATTAACAGAGGCCGGGCACAATTCGGCGACGGGAGGGGGCATTTTGCACTTTCGTTGCTTACTAGTTCTGGTTTACAAGTCTCACTCTGGTGAAACCTGTGAACTCTTGTGAAGCTGGAGCAAGCTCGTCAAGCCATCATGGTAAAACCTGTCAACTCGAGAAGAGGCTGTCTAGATGGGTCGACACGTCGATGGGAAGTAGCAAAAGTGCAAAATGCCCTCCCCGTCGCCGAACTGCGCCAGAGGCCCTATTTCGGCCGTTCTGTCTCGCTTTACCTCGCTGTCACGCTACATAGTGCCTTTGCTTTCGCTTCCTGCAGGGAACCAAGTTATCGTGCCCACTGCTTTTGATATATCCATGCTTTCTCACAGTGTTTCGTCGTTGCCAAACCGTTGATGCTAGGCTGCTTTCAGATTGAGCTATATTTTCCATTTATGACCATGCTTGAGTTCATTTTCCTCGTTGGGTGGATGAAGGTAATCTCATTTGTTGCCTCAAAGCACTATAAATCACAGTTTAATGTGTCAGAACTCAGGTCGCTGAAGGGCTTCTGAATCCCATGGGAGAAGACGATGACGATTTCGAATCTAGCTTCGTCATAGACAAGAATTTAGCTGTATGTGTAATCTTTGCAACATTTTGATTCTTCTAGAATATTTGGCGCAGTTCCGCTCGAGGAGGGGAGCACTGTTGAATTTAACTCAGCTTGCGCAGGACACTTCTTTGACCTGTGAACTGCTGTGACAAAATTGGCTCGCTCCAGCTGGCTCGGAGCTTCACAGGAGTTCACAAGTCTGACTAAAGTGAGACCTGTTAGCTTACATGGTTGAACTAGTGAGCCAGAAGAAAGAACCTCCCAAGCCGAACAGCCCGGATTTTTTTCGTCATTGGAAACTCAAAAAGCAAGCCTCTCTGCTTATAAAAATACCTTTATTTTCGCCTGTCACCTTATTTCAGACTGGTTTGTGCATTGTCGACGATGAGTATGGGGCATGCCCTGAGCTGACCCCTGACTGCTTCACTGATCCTGAATATAATCCGGTGTACACTGAAGATGGCGGCTATGGAGTCTTAACCGGATCAGCTGAGCAGCACAGGTAGTAGCTTCTTGCCCGAGCTCAACTCCAACTCAGCTTTGATGCTGCATGCTGAGACAAATCGCAACAAAGTACCTACAAGTTATCACAAGAATGCTGAGATATTGGCAAAAGTCGGACCCGGGACGGGACTTGAACCCGCATCTCCCGCTTACCGGGTGGCTGCGTTCTCAGCATTCTTGTGATAACTTATCGAGCGCGCACTGCGGCGTTAAACAGCACTTATCAACCTAAAACAACAAAGTACCTACAGTTTTGAGTGCGTCAGGACTGCGGTTGGCGCGGCGCCAGCCTTCAATTCCTCTATTTGTAAAGCCAGCGCGACCACAATTGGTGAAGGGAGAGGGTCTTGAGCTCGGATTTCGACTAACTGCTTGACACTTTCAGCTCGAGCCCGCAACGGCAATCGTGGCGTTTCCATGTGCTATGTCCTCGGAAAATTCTTCATGCCACTCAGTAGGTGAGGATAAGAATGAGATCATCAGCACAGCAGAAAAACGACGGGTAGTTCGGCGTTGGGGGAGGAGGGCATTTTGCACTTTTGCTACTTCCCATCGACGTGTCGACCCATCTAGAGAGCCTTTTCTCGAGTTGACAGGTTTTACCATGATGGCTGATGAGCTTGCTCCAGCTTCACAAGAGTTCACAGGTTTCATCAGAGTGAGACTGGTAAACCGGAATTAGTGGAGGCAGCTAAAGTGTAAAAAGCCCCCTAGCCCGTTGCCGAACTACGCCGAAAACGTTTTTATGATAACTCTAAAACTGTTGCAGAGATCAGTAGCCTAGTGAGCTGTACGTTATTCGCTTTCAGAGTTCATATCGCCGCAATCAGTCGTGGCGGTGACAAGAGACCGGAACTGAGCCCAACAGCAGCGTTTTCAGCAATAATTGGTTTCTTCCTCAATCGACCACTAACCTATTGGTAGCAGAGGCAACCGGAGGCGGCTTCACCGCGCCTCTTCTGCCACCGCCCCAACCGATTGCCACGATACAAACCATGTATAGGTTCGGCATAGTAGCAAGGAAGAGGCGCTGGCGTTAAGCTACTGGGTGTGAATATATGAGTGATGGCGCTTTCTTAACCAATAATTCCTGCCTCAAAGTTCACACGACTTGCTAATTCATTCTAGAATAAGCACAATGATAACAAATCTGTTTTCTGAGAGACTATGCTCTGCTCCTCTGAGGAGTCTCTAGCAAGGACTTTCAAGCGCTGCGAAGGTGGAGCTGTGGATGCCTCGGCCGAAAAATCAAGTGTTCTAGCGCGCTGATTTCTAGACTTCACATCTCCGGGTTGAACGCTTAACCAGCGTAGCCTCGTGGCGGTCCTGCCGAAGAGAGCGCGGAATTTTTGCTGAGAACACTTGTATCGCTACAATGGACCAATAAGATCCCCTCTCAGGAAAACAAAATGGTCACAACGTTTACAAAAATTACAACTTGTTGTTTCGGGACGGACGAACATTCACGCACGTGGATGCGCCTCTACTGAGCGTGATTGGGAGGCTTGCCTCAATGAGCTTCATAGAGATCAATTTCTAGCGAATGCAGTGGGCCTGCCATAGAATGCTTCACACACTTATGGAGCCCCCATCTTCACTTGATGCGGGAGATTTATAAGTTTGGTGCATGGATTCCTCAGAAAGATGCCCCCAAAGAGGTATCCGATGCCATACATACTAGGTGATTTCTATCGACATATCGGTATAAAAAGATATCGTGCTTTTATCATACTCACCACAGTTCTTCAAGCCTATTCTCACGAGTCTGAGACCTAGGTTAAGTGCGATGAGTGTGCGCCAGCAGCCCTTAGTTGTCGATTGACCCGACACCCTGCGAATTAACTGTAAAGTTGACCAAAAATCAAGCGAGTGTAAAACATTCTCGACACTCTAAGAGATGGAAACCGTCTGGGCCTCTAGCATTGCTATGGCACTATTCATTTTCTTCGACCGAGTGCACCTTCGAAAATCATCATGAAAATGTGTTTTGAACGCTGAAACCAAAGATCTCGTGAATAGTTCTCGCGCTATTTGTGATTTGCTTGCTATAATGTTTTTCGCTCTCACCTTGCTTTAGTTATTTTGTCAAGGGGTCGCCTGGAATCGGATTTTTCAATGTCTTTGAAATCATAAACTGCAAAACGTTGTACGAAATTAACATCTTTCAGCAAGTGATTATTACTTCAGTCATCGGTAATCTTGGCAATACGTTTTATTCTCAATAGTTTCCTAGTTCACGAAGGTACGATTAAATAGCGTATAGAAAAAGAAGAACCAAACTGTCTTGACAGTTCGGCGAACTTCAAGGACGCCTCCACTCATCTATGTCCGAGACGGCATACCACTAGTGGCTTCTCATTGACTGGCAATCTCCTGCTCTACCCGCTATAGCAGAACAGAGGCACAGCAATAAGGAACCCACAGTGGTGCGCCGAAATCAGCCATACTACCAGAGTGCCTTTAACCCATTGCGTACCGCGGCGTTTTCGCCAAAAATCGGCGCCCTGTGGCCGACGCCCTTTTATCACGCGACGCGTGACCGCGCCGATATAAACAAATGTCTGATTCAATTATATACAAGTGCTACAAAATATGTTGTATACATTATTCATATTGCTTTAATGCATCAGCAATGATAAGTAAGAGTACTATACGTTAAAAAGATGGTCAAAAAAATGCAGCCGCTGCTAAAAGTTTATAAAATCAAGAAGGACTGAAATGGGATCGATACAATCGCAAATCGCTCACATTATTATGCGTTGCGACGCTTTTAGTCCAGTTCACTACCTTAGTTTTTCTGTTATTGGTTAGCAAGAAATAAGCAATAGAGTATAGTTAGCTGGGAAATTTCCCGAAAAAAATGTCCGATAAGCTCAGCTCTGCCTTTATCCCACAATTCCGTACTACTATTATATTATATACAAATCATTTATATTCATGGAGAACCCTGAATAAGCTTTGTACGAAGCGTGCTGCACATGGTGCAGGCACGCTAACGCAATGGGTTAAACAAAAACTCAAGAGGTCTGTCCAGTGATTCAATGTCGAGGTAGTCCTCACGGCAATGTTTGCTAGCATTCCTTATGTTTGGAATACCTAATGCAAGCGTTGGCCCAACTTAGTTCTACATTTTTCAACTCTATCTTTTTAGCCTTCTTCTTCGACCACCAAAGAAGAGATGGAGTTCAATGTTCAATCATCTTCAACTAGAGGTGCACTTGACTGCAAAAGATCTTTCAGAACGATTGATAAGGAGTAGTTTAATGTTGATAATATCGGGCCCATCTCTTTGTTTTGTCAATAAAGCGTCCAGCTTCTAGCGAAATCCTCGTGTTGTTAGATACTGTCAGAGTGCAGTCAGTAGCAGGGGTCTCCTCTCAAATTTCGGAAATATTGATAGCATACGTAATGCAGCATTATCTTGGAAGGGACAAGAATATCATGAGCTTATTGGGAATCCCCGAAACAGGAAGGAGGAGGTAGGCGTGGGGTTAGTCAGCAACAATCAGCGCATAGGTGTCAACATTGAGAGGTTGGCTAATCTGTCATTAGCGGAACGTGCGCTCAGGGAACCCGGATAAGTGGGAGAGAACATTACAAAAAAATAGCCGAAATAACCAGGTCACAATATCGTGGTTAGCATACGTCGATAGGTATGTAGATGACTTAACAGTACGAAATTCAAACAGGTTCTTAAGCAGGTAGTGGACCATTCCGAACCTTGCGAACATATATTTCTACAAGGGAACTAAGCACTTAGAAGTTGCACCATTCCAATGCCACTGCTTGGCAGTTTAATGCACGGCGCATCCGAATATGAGTCAATCGGCACTAAACGAACCATTGCCCACTTCTTTCTAAGGAGCGGAGCTGCTCTGAATGCATACTTGGGTACTCGAATGCGTTCACTCACAAGGTTTTAAAGAAATGGGTTTCTTGAGAGGCTCAAAGTTTTCTCGGAAAATGCCCGACGCTGACATCTCATGAGCAGCGGAATCTTCAGAAGAAAATAAATGGATTTCAGAAAGAGGGACCTCTCTCTCTGAGAGGGACATCTCCCTATTTCCAGAAGCGTTCCTATCTTTGCAAGGGGCTGCACGGGCACGGAGAAATTGTCGTTGTCGAAATCACAAAAACTCGCGCGCAACCCTCAGAATATCGAACAATTCCCCATAGATATTCCTCAAGACTAGACAGTTGGATATTCCAATCATTTTTGAAAAGCGCTGAATTAACTCTTCACAAGTCTGCTTTTCTTCTCCTCAATAGTCTATTTTGAAAATTATGGCTGCTTAGAAAAATAGGTATTTTTGTGCAGGCTGTGCAATACAGTCTGTTCCAACGCGATGCACCTAACGCAGCCGCACAGCGTCTCTCTCTATAATGATTTCACTGCTCCAATGAGAAGTTGTTGTTTTTGGTTGGGTCCCATTCACCAATTTTCGTCACTCTGTCATTCTAACATTGTGTTGCCTAGTATTTATTTGTACTGTTTTACTTCATTAACTGGCCGACGTAACTTTTCTCTTTACGCTTCTAATTTTTAAATCCGTTTTTGTGGCTGGAATAGTTATGCAGCTCGATATAAAAAATGGCCTTTGCCCACACAATTACGTATTGATTCGGTTCAACGATACTTTTGAATTGTTGTACTGAAATAAAAGCAGGCGAACTAGCTTCGTTTCTTTGTTGAAAAGGTCAGCAAGTGAGCTGCTGGCGGTAGTCCAGTTGAGCACTGTTTAGTTTAGTACCAGTGGGAGCTCACCGCTGCACATTTGCAAAGTCGCGTAGGGCTATCAAATGGTACAATTTTTGTTCTCATGGCGCTGTCCCCGTTCCTTTTAATGCTGAATGGCATGTGGCTGCTGCAAGCTGCGACTGAACGGTTGCGAAGAGTGAAGTTTTTTCTGAAGCCTCGAGAAAAAGTAGGTACACTGATTTGAACTGACCATGTCTAAAAAGAGCTTTGCGCACCTCACGAAAATGGCGTTGGCCTACCTCAGAGTTTTTACAAGAATCCGTTGAAATGGCGCGACATATCGGCATGTTTCCTTCGTCTATTTGACCAACGCCAAGCATTTTGCAGCCTCTCTAAATTTTCCTCTCATCCTCCCATCTTGGAAAACACCCATACCATCAGGTTCGCAGCAGTTCTTCCAACTTGGTGCTACAGAACAGTCTTCTGCAAAAATTCAGGCAGGTCGTGTAAGCCGCTGTTTGTAACAACGTTATGACTAGGAATTCAGAAAACAGAATCATACTCAGGTTTCTTTTTAAGTGGTCGTATGCACCTACCCTTTGTGTACTGATCCTGACGTTCCGATAAGATGACCCTCTAGTTTAACTTTGTTATTCTGTAACTAGCAGCTGAAATGCAGTAGCGATTGTGAACGCGCATGCGATCAAAAAAGGTTGTAGAAACGAGTAATACGAACCGATATGATACTCGTGCTTATCATTGCTCGCTCCATACAACGGTTGTGAGAGCAGCATACACCGCGCCGAGGAACCCTATCCCGCTAACATGCCCAACCGTCCGCGACCGAAACTACACTATAGACAATAGCTCGACAGCTACGTTTTCGAAAATGCTGCCCCCGCACCCTCAATCGAAATCGGCATTCGCCAGAGGTGGACTTTTTTATTTTTGTCCGTGAGAAAGCGTCTCGGAGTGTGCAAGTTTGTGCCGTCAAAGAAAAAGTAGCAAGAGTTGTTTCGAAAGGGAATGATGACTTTGTGAAGGCGAGGAATCTTCTAATCGTTCCGAAGTCGTAGGCCATAAGAAATTGCCTAATTTCAAAATGGACATGCCACAGTCAGTTGCTTCCGCAGCTCACCGAACCATTAGGTTCAAAGGATGCTCAGAAATACTGCTACTATGCGCACTTTTTTGAGATCATGACTTGCCGCCCTCAGGTTCGGAAGTTTTTCTGAGATTACAGTCGGACAGTGAATCCACTTAAGCAAAGCCGCGTTCAAATGTGATGAGTATGCGCGTCCAGGTAGCTTAATATGCAAGGTAAGAAAGAAGCCCATTAGTGAAGGAAAACATCAAAAAAAATCATGCATAAATTCCCCTATAAAGAGTTTCATACCAAATACGCATTGTATCTGCCTCAATACGCAGCATGGCACGAAATATTCCAGCAAAACGAGCAGGACTAAATACGCCGCAGACGGAATTCCGCGACCCTGAGTAGCTCGCCATAAATGCCTTTTCCAGAAGTGCCCTTATAAGCCCTTATTAAGCCCACAACTTTACGTCCCAAACGCCCCCACTGCCCGCCGCCCACAAATGGACGACTGTTCCAGACGTTCCTAACGCTCTAATTCATTCATTTGCTAAGCAAATTATGAAGCGAAGGGATTGGTATGAAGCGGCCGTGATGCTGCATGGATATATGAGTACACATATGCAGCCGTACCTTCGGTAGCGGTTATTGGCAAGATGCCTACGGGAAACTCGTCCAAAATTGATTACTAACACAGTGAGATTTTTCGCAGGATTTTGACCGTTTCACTCCGTTCTTTCGCCATTTCCCCACTATATAGCGCCCTACTAGCATTTTAGGCCGAGCACTCAATCATCGTGCCAACTGCCTTTAAGGCGAAGAGAAGGAGTGGTTGCACGAGTTCTCACTTGTTGATTTCAGCTGTTTCCCCTTATCACCTCACTCTCACCACACGACGTGGAGAGAAGCAGCAATGGAACAACCGCACCATCAGGCAACCATTAGAAATGAAGTTGGGCGTCGTGGTCGCCAGGTGGGCGGGTGGTCTTTACTAGCGATAGGCGCTATCCTCTCGCCTTTGTGAGATGCAAAACTAGTACATACTGCATCCTTATGGGGAGGGCTATGATATCCAGAAAGGGCGTAGGAACATCAAGTGAACGTGGGCGCTGCCTTTAAAGACACATGGTACGCTCACACATTGAGGGTGTATGAGACTATCAGCCCCCCAGCTGTCGATGTGTCGTGGTTCCCCCGCCCGAAACTGCACGGGTTAGTACAGGG